TCCCTCTCAAACTCCCTTAATTTCATTGCCTATGTTCTTTCTTCCTGGAATTCCCATTCAACGTTAAACTTCCTGATTGATTTTCTTTCCTTTTCTATCTCTTTTTTTTTGTTCTACTTAACTAGAGATTGCTTTTATTTTGATCTTCGTGACCTTCTATTGATTTAATTTTAGGACTAGTTTTAGTTTCCAGGAGTTCTTGTTCTTTTTTCAGCATTCTGTTATTATTTTAAGGGTGCAATTTTCTCTTTCTCACTGTGTGTGCATGCTTTCTCTCCTGTTCCCTCAATTATTCCTTTGGGAGCAATTTTCTCTTCTTTATTTATTTTTTTGGTTTTAGCCATAGAATGCATGCTGTCGCTGGTGTGAAAGAGACAGGCATAGAGAGGGAAAATGAGAAATCACCCCCCAGAGGGGATAGCCACACTGCAGTCCCTTCTCTACCGTTCTTGTCCTGGGATTTGGGGCATGCACACACATGCACCTGGCATGATGTTCGAGCCACTGGTCTGTGTCTCAAACCGTGGTCACCTATGTGGGAGTCCAGCAATGTAACCACTATGACATCTGCTGGCCCCAACTCTTGTTTAGATTCTTACATCTCATTCTTTCTTTAATTTGCCAGTGTGCACTTGTCAGAGACAGGCAGAGAGACAGAGAGGGAAAAAGCACTACCCCTACCATACAGGGTTAGGTTCTAGTTCCATCTCCCCAATTTCCCCATCTTGTCAGGATTTTGGACACACTCACATAGGCCCAGCATGTTTCCTAAGCTTCCAGGTCCAGGATTTGAACCACAGAGTTGGCCATGTGGGATCTATCTATCTTAACCTCTGTGCCACCCACTGGTCCAGAGTCAGCTCCTCACCCCACTTTATTTATTTGTTTGTTTGTTTATTTTAATTTGACCAGAGAAGGACAGAGCGAGAGAGGGGGCAAGTGAGAAAGCAACCAGGTCTGAGACTCTAACCACAGTCGGCCATGTGGGAGTCCTGAGCCCTTAACTACTACACCACCTGCCACCCCCCCCCCAGAGCTGGCTTTTTGAAATGTATTTACCCTGCCTAGTTCTTGATGCTAAAAATACAGATTTATATAATACTTTTAAGTTTTATTTTAGGCCCCAGAGGCTTGAAAAACACACCAGATGCATCTGTGTGTGTGCCCCAAATCCCAACAGGCAGGAGAATTGGAAGAAAGGAATTGCAGCATGACCACATCCATTTGAGGGATGCTTTCCCCCTCTCCCTTTCTCTCTCTCTCTCTGGCAAACCCACATGCCCTCTAGCCAAAGGAAAAAAAAAAAAGAGTGGAAGTTAAGATACATAGATGAAAAAAAAAAAAGAAGATACATAGATGAAAATAGTGGGACCAGCAGTTAGCTGTCACTGAACTCCCACGTAGTCGACCATGGTTCAAGTCCTGGACCCAGTGGCTTAAACTCACGCCGGGCATGTGTGCGTGCGTGCCCAAGATCCCGAGGAGAATGGAGGAGAAGGGATTGTGGCATGGCCCTGGGGGGTGATTTCTCACTTCTGTCTCTCTGTCTCTCTCTGGCAAGCGCATGTGCCCTGTAGCAAAGACCTCTCAAAAAAAAAAAAGTGACCATTGTGTCAATTAAAACAGGCTTCAAGGGTCAGCGGGTGGCATGGTGGTTAGGGCACTGGACTTCCATATGACTGACTGAGGTTCGAGTCCCAGACTTGGTGGCTTGCTTTCTAACTCTCCTTCTCCCTTTCTCTCTCTGGTGAGTGCATGTAACCTATAGCAAGCTTTTAAAAATAATAATGATAAGGGGCCAGCAGTTGGCGTGGCGGTTAAGGCGCTGGACACTCCCACATGGACAACCACGGTTTAAGTCCCGGACCTGGTGGCTTGCTTTTTCACTTTCCCTCTCTCTCTCTGATCAAATTAAAATAAATGAATGAATCAATAGAGTTGAAATAAATAATTCTTTAAGATAATAATAATAATAATTTAAGAAAAAGACCTCAAAGCAAAAATATTAGAGATACACGGGACGTTTTATAATGCTAAAAAGGTCAATTTGTCAGAAAGACATTATAATCATAAAATACTAGGTGTGCCTAAGAACAGAGTTTTGAAGTCCGCAATGAAAAATTGGACAGTGTAATAGGGAGAAATAACAGTCCCACAAGCATTATTGAAAGTCTTAACACCCTTAAGGACTGATAGAAAACTGTAACCCCCCCCAAAAAAAAAAAACCAGTGAAGTCATAGATTGTTTGAATATTATCAACCCCTCGACCTTATTTATAAAATACTGTCCTATAATCTGCAAAATAAACATTTTCAAACTCACATGATATGTTCAACAATATAGACCCTGTTACTGTACAAAGCAAACCTTACTTAATGAGTGTAAAGGGATTGAAATCAAACACTTTGTTCTCTGACCACAATAGGACAGAAATGAGGCATCTGAGTGCCCTGCAGCCAGTCAAGGGAGAAGGGCTGGTCAGAGAGCCGGTGTGAGCAGGGCTGGGACTGGGCTGAACCCCTGGGGGAGTAGCTGGTGAAGGCACCAATTACCCATCATGCCCCAGCCTCACAGTCTGGCTCTTACCTGCCCCTAGAGCTGCCAGGAGGAGCGAAGGCTGATGTCAGAGCGGCCCGGGCAGTGATGCTCAGAACAGCCCCAGGACTTCCTGCTTGGGCCCTTTATCTGCCGGAGGGAGGGACAGCCTGTTCTCCCTGCGGGAGCCACAGA